GATGTAATTTAAATACACACTGTTTTAATACACATTTTGATAACGTTTATTAATTATTTATTTTTACGTCTAAACAATTTAACATTTTAGTGTTTGAACATCGATAATTATTGTTATAATCAATATTATTTAATACTTTTAAACGATGTGTAATTGTGTAAAAGTACAACTTTTGCTCCAAAATGTTATTTTTGTGAATGAAAACTTTTTTAAAACAGATGTTTTATTTAAAAATGGAGTAATTTACTAAATAACGTGTAAAGGAAAAGACCTGTACTATGTTTTAATGATATAAATTGACTAAATGGTTTTAAACAATGAGTGTAAAAGGACCATTGTTTAATAAATAATAAAAAACATAACCTATATCTGTTTTCTGTCATCATTAAAGTTTGAAAATGTATTGTTTTTCCATCATTTTGAACATTTTTACATTGAACAAGACAGGTGTAACAGGTGTACAGTCTGGTACCGCATCAGATGGGGTTCCGTATCGTGGGAAAATTTTCCCACGATCACGTGACCAGTCCAGAAGTGGAGGTGGTGGTGAAGGGGTGTTGGTGGGTGGGAAGAGGAGGGGAGACCGTGGGAATTTTCCCACGATCACGCGGTCAGACCGGAAGTGAGCGGGAGGGGTAAAAAAGGGGCGGGGCTTATTTTTATGGGGGGCAATAAATCACTCAAAGTGACACTTGCCGCCCTTCATTCTCTCTTATATCTCGAAATTCTGACACCTTCTCAGAATTGTGAGATATATATATACTCGCAATTGCGAGTTATCAGGCCAATTTTAAGGGGAAAAAAAGACTAACTTTTTTCCCCCTCAGAATAGTTTATATCTCACAATTCTTACTTTAAAACACACAATTTCGACTTTATGTCATGCATTTCTGAATTTATAACACATAATTGTGACTTTATATCACACAATTACGACTTTATATCGTTATAAAGTCAGAATTGTGAGATGTAAACTCGCAATTGTGAGATAAAAAGCCGCAATTACCCTTGTTATTTTTCAATCTGTGGTGGAAGCAAGCTTCCATAACAAACTGTTCTCATAGCAAAAAACTAAAAACAAACAAACAAAAAAAATCAAAGCAAAGAAAAAAACGAAATAAAAACAAAACAAATAAGCAAGAAAAAAAGCCCAGTTCAACAGAAATCAATCCATGTCCAAAAACAAAATCAAAAGCGATAAAACAAAATCAGGAATGAAAAATAAGATCCAAAAAAAAAAAAAAACACGCTTTATGGGGATTATTATTTTTTTTTAGTGCCAACGGGTCAGTAGAAACGAAACAACACATTGTTTGTTAGCATTTGTGGGTGAATGTTCTGTAAAAACACAGTAAAGCATTATTTAGCAGCATGCAATTACGACAGAATCTATTCTTTACAAATGTAAAGAGGTTGGAAAAGCACATCACAGTCATTCCAAGTCTTCCATCGGAACGTCGGATGCTCCGTCTCCAGTACAAATTCAGTCATAATGAGACAAAGCTGGTGGGCCGTCGTCCAAAAGATCCGATGAATGTTGTTTAGCAATGGGAAAGAAGCAGTGTTACAAAGCTCAAGTTTGTTTTTCCTTTGCAAGCAAATAAAGTGTCAGAGTCTGCAAAAGGTTTTGTGTGGTCTCTTGTACTGAAGGATCTAATAAATTAAGTTTTCTGAAAGCACTGAAAATGTAAGACATTGACAAAGAGCTTAACGTCATCCTCAATGCAAGTTTTTCTTGTATAAATCATTCAGCGATGGAAAAATAATAAAGCAGGCTGCAAAAGCATATTCTTTATTAGTTTTTCTCATGCAGTAGGTCTTTGTTTTTTTGCTGATGATGTTTCTTTTCTTCCCTTCAATGGGGTTAAAATACTTTTTCTGTCTTTATAATTAAGTAGTTTGCCCCGGGGATGGAAGGCACAACTTCACGACTACGATGCAAGTACATTATTCACAGCCACCGAACACAGCAATGTGCTTGTTTCACCATCATTCAACAGGTACAACAAATCAAGTTTGAGCAAACAGCCCATAACTTCTCTTTTCACATCATTACCCATGTTTAGTCATTTTAGTGTAGCTGCAAGCCTTATTACAGACTGTCTTAAAAAGAAATAGTAGCTATTTTCACGCATCTAACCCACTGGGAAACAATAGTTCTGGCTCTGCTGTTTTAGCAAGCAAACCTTTTAATCATTTATGCTGATGAGTTATGCAAGAAAATAACACAATATAGCTTAGAAACTCAAAGATAAAAATGTAAAATTCGATAACTTAAAGACCTAAATCCATCTTTATACCAAAACAAAAAAAACACAATCACTTTACAGAGCTTTCTCAATGCCCGATCTGGCTTGAACATCTGCTTCCTTTCACTTGTTGTAATCGCTGTTTAAGTTATAAAATAAAATCATTCAAATTCATACCAATTTAGCAATGAATCAATCAACTTCTTCAATGTCTAATTATTAATTTCCAAGCCTGTAAATCACCGCCCTACATTTATTCTTGTACAAGAAGCAATTTCACTTGGATATACAACACAATGGGGGGAAAAAAGACTATCACAACTAAATATACACCTAAATCTTATTTATTTGCAAAACTTTTCAATAGGACAAGACTCTAGAGACAAATCTCTGTCCGCTGCGGCGTAACGTGACAAATTGGAGGTTTCTAATGTTTAACCATATACATGATGTTTAATGTCCGCTTGTCACAAGTGCTAAAAAAGTCAGATTTACATGAAAGAGAAAGCTTTTAGTGCAGGAATATTTCATCCCCGCATGGAGGTCTGGATGGGAAAAAAAAATGAAAAATACTATAAAGCTAGTATGTAAATTATGAGAAATAGTGAGTCTCAAATGCATGATATAAAGTCGCAATTCTGAGAAATAAAGTTGCAATTGCGAGAAATAAAGTCGCAATTGGGATATATAAAGTCGCAATTCTGAGAAATAAAGTCGCAATTGCAAGATATAAATTTGCAATTCTGAGAAATAAAGTCGCAATTGCGAGAAATAAAGTCGCAATTCTGAGAAATAGTCACAATTGCGAGATATAAAGTCGCAATTCTGAGAAAAAAATTCGCAATTGCGATATATAAAGTCGCAATTCTGAGAAATAAAGTCGCAATTGCGTGATATAAAGTTGCAATTCTGAGAAATAAAGTTGCAATTGCGAGATATAAATTCGCAATTCTGAGAAATAAAGTCGCAATCACGAGAAATAAAGTCGCAATTCTGAGAAATAAAGTCGCAATTGCGATATATAAAGTCGCAATTCTGAGAAAGTCGCAATCACGAGATATAAAGTCGCAATTACGTGATATAAAGTCGCAATTCTGAGAAATAAAGTCGCAATTCTGAGAAATAAAGTCGGAATTGCGAGAAATAAAGTCGCAATTGAAATAAAGTCGCAAAGAGAAAGCTTTTAGTGGAGGAATATTTCATCCCCGCATGGAGGTCTGGAGGGGGGGGGGAAATACTATAAACCTAGTATGTAAATTATTTTAAAAAATTGTGACTGTTTGATATGAATCCCATTATGAATCTCATTGACATTCTTATTTTTAATGATTGTGCTAGGTGCCCAAAAGAAACTCTACATAGATACAGGTATAAGATTTGGGAACCAGTGAAGGTCTGATAAAGACTCTGTTCGGAAGAAAATAACCACCCCCCTCACACACACACAACGGAGCAGTGTGTGAAGCTCAATACTGCAGCTGCAGCTCTCTGTGGATACGAGGCCAGAGGCTGCAGGTCTCTGGCAAAAAGAAACATCTCATTACCTCCAGAAACAAATATAAGAACTGCAGAAAGTACAAACTTCCTCAGTTATCACAGAAAACAGTACCTCTCAAACAGTACACATCAAAAAAAAAAATCTAAATCAGGATTTTAATCTTTTTTTTTTTTAGTAAAACTACCTAAACATACGTCAAATGGACAATTGTGTAAGATAAGACTTGATTTCAGAGAATATAAATTGAATTACGTTTTTTCCCCCCTTCACCACTTTGGCAAACTGTAACAAAAAAAAACAAATCTCGCAAGGTTTCTACTCAAAGCAAGCCAAAAAAATTTGCCAGAGCTGTATGAAAAATAAATAATTTGGTTAAATTTAAATAAAAGTAAATACATTTCGATCCACCTCAAATATGATTAGGGAGTGCTCTTAACAAATATACAATCCAACTAGATTGCAGTCTAATTTACATTATGCTTGTGGTTACAATATTTGAGCGAATTAAAAAAAAAAATTAAGAGAACACAAAACAAATGTGTGTAAATGCAATAGTGCCCACAATCAGTCTCATTTAACATTACATGTAATCTTAATGTTGTCAAGTTGTCGAGGAGCCGATTTCATCACTCAAAATGCAGTAATGAGCAACCCATTCTCGTTAGAAAGGATTTAAAGGACAAATGTGAGGGTGAACTGCATAATTAATATGGATGGCAGGGAGAATCAAACAAGCAACAACTACAGAGTGCCAGAATCCATTCTTTTAAACAGGCTTTGCAATGCAAATGAAGAGATATCTATACCTTATGGACAAAAATGTGTGTGAAATTATTGAAACTGCTCATAGCAAGAACAAGCGCTGAGAGCAAACATTAATAAAAGCACTTATAGACTCAAGGCTGCAGTGGGATCCAAATGGCTGAGGCCATATTGAAATCTATCTAATGTAAAACTAGATTAAACAGTTTTTGAAAAATGTAACACCAAGATGCACAATGAAATATTAAACCCTCATGTACTATTTTAATTCTCATTCTCTCTCTCTCTCTCTCTCTCTCTCTCTCTCTCTCTCTCTCTCTCTCTCTCTCTCTCTCTCTCTCTCTCTCTCTCTCTCTCTATCTCTATATATATATATATGTATACACACACACACACACTTCATTTATGTCATGTATGTTTTATATAAGACGGTGTGTGTCAGATATATACATCATAAATATCATGTATGTTTTATATAAGACGGTTCTCACCCCGATGTTGAAGTTTCCGGTGAAGTAGTCGAGGTTTGTCTGGATGAAGCCAATGTTTGTCAATCCAAGCTGAGCACTTCGGTCTCTGGCCCTGACCAGAGACTCCTCTTTGTTTTCAATGAGAATAACCTGATCAATGACAAAAACGGGATATTTCACCATTCTGCATATTATCTCTCTTACAACTCACTGGTTCATTGCAAAATTGCTCACTGATTCATCTCAAATTGCTCTATGAAAAGCCATTTCATTAAAAGGAGAGAAAAAGTACATCATCTATTCTAAACAACTACCTAATAATCCACTGAACCATTAAATATGTATTTAGCACTCAAAGAGTATTCAAGTACCGAGTTGATTTTCCAATCCGCATTTGTAAAAGCACAATTTCCCCAACAAGGGCTTAGGGAGACAAAATACAACAATAGAGTGGAATCAGTTTATTTTTCCAGTGTCTACAAATGATCTCACCAGGGATGAAGGCAGATTTGGTTTCTTTCCTTTGAATCTTTTAACCGGAACTTGCTACACTTGAACAAATCACAAAGTCTTACCTGACATTTAGGAAGCGTGTACGCCAAAACAATCCCAACGTGCCCCTGAGAAAACAAACGAAGAAAAAGCTGCTAAAGAACTCAAAGAGCTCATCAGAGCAAAGTCTGCTGAAGAGAACACACAAGCGAACAGAAGAACATTGACCTGTAGCCCAAATGCTGTAACGTCAGGGCTTATATTTATGCACAGAATAACAAGAGCACTCCCAAAGATTACACGAGGTGACAACTGAGGAGAACAGATGCTTTTCTGGCTGAGTCCCATAAGAAAACAGAAACAAGTCCAAGACGTTTTTAACATGTCAGAAGATAACCTACACCCCCGCTGCAGAAATCCACCACTGTGTTCCCCGGGTGGGCCAGATCCGTCACCATGGCAAGCAGGTTGTTGAGTTGTTGTTGTTTGCGCACGGCGCGGGCGTCTGACATCTTACCTTTGGAGACAAGGGAATGTTAACACCGAAACTGCCAACAGCAACACACTGCAACAAGACTCTTCTTAACCCATAGCCAAAATACTGTAGAAATGTGTGTCCAAATTACAAATGTATTGTTACAATCCAGTAAATACGTGATAATGTACAGCCAAACAGATCATTAACGCAAACTAAACCCACATCGGAATCAGTCCATCACCCTGAATGGGTTTATTTGGGAAATTACTAATTAGTTGGCAAATAATTTGTTAATTTTGTTGGCAAATAATAAGTAGAAAAAAAAAAGTTATATAATTAGGGATTTCAAATGATTAATCGCGATTAATCGCATCCAAAATAAAAGTTTGTGTTTATATAATATATGTGGGTGCACTGTATAATTATTTTATATATATATATATATATAAATATATAAATACACACACATGCTTGTATATATTTAAGAAATATTTTCATGTATATACTGTATATAGATTTATAATTTTATACATTTAAATTTATAATATTTTTTTCTTAAATATACATGCATGTGTGTATATTTATATGTATACAAAACAATTATACACAGTGCACCCACATATGTAAACACAAACTTTTATTTTGGATGCGATTAATCATGATTAATCGTTTGACAGCTCTAAATATAATATAATATCTTGTTTTTCAATAAAATAAAATTAAATTAAACCATCTATTTATGTATTTATTTATTCTCCTAAAGTAAAATTTAACAAAAAAATAAATTTTTACATTAAACAAATATTTGTTTGTTTGATTAATCGCGATTAATCACATCTAACAAAAATGTGTAAATATAAGTGTGTTTTTATATATACATATAATAGATATATAACATACATATAATGCATATATATAAAATACACATATCTATAAACTTTTTTTAGATGTCATGTGACTAATCGTGATTAATCGATTTGACAGTACTAAATAATATAATGTAATATAATTAATTTAAATGTACAGTGAGCACTAACATTTTACAACAGTATGGACATTTATATACTTGCAGTCACACAAATGACTGAAAACAAAGTCATGGTCAAGAGAAAAAAATGGTTATACATTTATAATGCATTCTCCTAAATTAAAATGTAACAAAATTAAAACCTTTTACATTAAACAAATATTTCTTTGTTTGATTAATCGTGATTAATCACATTTAACAAAAGTTTGTAAATATAAGTGTGTTTTATATATATATATATATATATATATATATATATATATACACACACACACATACTTTTTTTAGATGTGACTAATCGCGATTAATCGATTTGACAGTACTAAATAATATAATGTAATATAATATAATTATTTGTACAGTGAGCACTAAAATTTCACAACAGTATGGACATTTATATACTTGCAGTCACACAAATGACTGAAAGCAAAGCCATGGTCAAGAGAAAAAAATGGTTATACATTTGTAGGTAATATTCTGTTGTAACATTTTTACCAAGCACAATGTGTTTGGGTATAATAATAATGAACAACAGTATAATTAAAAAGATTAATAGAACGTGGTTGTCTAGCGATGAGAATGATTATTTTAGTTCCGTTTGGTTTGTCCACCGCTTGGCTCTAAAAATGGCATTCGGCACATTTAGCATTCTTACAGTTCGCAAATTGAAAAGAGGAGAGCCAAGGACCACTTTCAGCTGTGATTAAACGGATTTAATTATTTCAACGGCTGTTTGAGAAAAGTTAAAAGCGGAAATACTCTCAAAATATACAATTTTTGACCCTTTTTCTCCCTCCCTCGCCACTCAAGTCTTCTCAAACTTTAATTGGAGTCGAAGGCTGTTTTCACACAGCCACACTCTCTGCCACGGGGAATAAATTTGCAGCAGATTTCCTGTTTGGAGCCAAGCGCTGAAGAAACACCATCGGTGTAATATAAATCACAGACGCGTCTGTCGTGCACTGCTGCGCTCATTTTGTGCACGACTCTCTGATGAGAGCGGAAGAACTACCTGGAGCCAAATAGGAAACAAAACCATGAAACAAAGCTTTGTACAGATTTGTTCATCATGTGTCATCAACACCTGGTAATTAATTAATGTTTACGATTCTGACAGGCAACAAAAGAATCAATCAGGCTCAGGTGAGGAGGAAAAGACAAACATGCAGATTTCTTTTGCAAAGAACGCCTGTGGAATTTGCATGTGTTCTTTCTCTAACAGGATCTGAATGGCAGGCGCGCAATCAGAGAGGAGCAGATACGTGGAATGCAGCATCTTCGCAACTCATTAACCGAGAACACGTTTGCAGTGCGTCTCTGAGAGACATAAATCGAGAGGAATGTCGGCCTGGTGTCCCTCCAACATCAAGAGAATCAAATCCGTCTGAAAATCTGCAATGCTTCCAATGAACAATGATGTTTAGGTTTTTATGAGATGCTGACGGATTCAAATTCTAAAATGAATTGCTTGAATTGCTTGAAAATGAAATGATTTTCTCAAAATGTTGTAAGTTTGGCTCATCTGGCTCACTCAGACAATAGTGGGCAGAGTTAACGTAAATAGCCTCTTCCAACATAGAGTCATGCTACAAAACTTTGAACATGGCATTTCTGAGAATAACACAATAATTTGCTGTTTTCTCACTATTGCCAAATCAAAAGTAGCAGAATGGCTGAACATATGTTAAAATAAAAAACTACAGTAAATAAAGCAGCCGACAAGCATGCAAGCAAATAAAGCAATCAAATAAGTGAAATAAAATAAAACTAAGAACCATAAATAAATACATGCGTATCTCTACCTACCCTACCTAACACATGGAGGTGTCACCAAAAAGTGACTGGTAATACTATTAAAGGGGTGGTAAAATACCATTTTCACAACTGATTTGAAGTTTTAGCACAAAATACGCTTTCACTTTTTGAGGGTTTGCAAAAACGTACCATTTTGTGCCTGGCCCTTTAAATGCAAATGAGCTGCTCGTGTGTTAGCAGCTGCGATTACCTCATTATGTTAAAACATAGTCAGTCAAAGATGGAGAGACTCAAGAAGAAGTGACAACATGTAGAATACAACAGGACATCTCTGAATAGTTATGTTGCTGATGTGGAGTTAACTATCTTCAATTAGGATATTATGTCATGTAATCTATAAATCGCTCATATAGGAACTGTTGTGAGATACACACAGAGTGACTTTCTATTGCATGTGAAAAGATGGATGCTAAAGTTTGAGCTGACTCACAAATGTACTCTTAAACAACCACTCTTCCTCTTCTCAACATGGACTGAGTGTTCCCGGGGGCGGGGTTTATGTACATTTTAGGGTTGGTGATGTCACTAACCCGGGAGGAAGCTTGTGTAGTCCCTACCAGCCATTTGTTGTAGTCCTTTTCTTTAAAAGCAAATATCTTCCTTTGCTTTGAACTTTGAACATTGTAACTTTGATACTGTTGTTTATGCTCAAACAGCAACATTACACACTAACTAAAGTTAGAAAAGTTAAATAATATTTTATCACCCCTTTAAAAGAACTCTAAAAATACTAAGTGGGGAAATTCCTACAAAAGATGTTTTCTGCAGACATGATTCTGGTCCTGAGAGTTTTGTTGGAAAAACCAGGAAGACTTTCATAGAATAATAAGATATATTGATCAGGGAGAGTTTTTAATTTACCCAAGATACCCAGGTTTGGTCCAAAACGCCCTGCAGTCCTTTAAGACAAACAGAGCTTGTGATAGTGGAGACACAGATGATTGAGACACAAGTGGGATTTCTTGGAAAAATGGATGAAACAAATGAGAAAATATCCTGGGCTCAGGGCTGTACTGATAAAAATCACATATCAACATTGCAATTATTTTTCTCATGATATTGCTTTTTCCCAATTCTTTAAATCCTTGTTTATGTGCCCTTTCATGTGATTTCCCCCAGTTAAATTAATGAAAAAACAGGTTGTTTTAATAAACTGACATTCCTCAGTATGGTCAGCTGTGATACAAAATGACATGGGCTCCACCTACTCAGTTATGCCATTTTTAATGCAAATATGACATTGAGATGTCTTTGTTATGACACCTTGACATAAACCAATACATCATAACCTGTAAGTGTCTTTGTTATGACAACTTGACATTACTAAGACAACACAACCTGTCATTAACATGACATAGCAGATAAATTATCAAACTTAAGAAAGCACCTAGCTTTATTGGTTGACATTACATTAAACTTTCCGGTGGTTGGTTTTGACTTTGGCTGTCATGAAGCCATTATAACTTTTTAATGACAAATTCAATTAGTACCACTGTAGTTGAGGCCACGAAATGTAAAAAAAATGTAATTTAAAAGCTGAACTTCCAACATCATTACTGTTGCTGATTCCACATCAGTTTTCAGTGTCACATGATCCTTCAGAAATCATTCTAATATGCTGATTTTATGCTCAAAAAAAAAAAATTATTATTTTCAATGTTGAAAACAGTCGTGTACCACCCCCCCCCCCAAAAAAAAAAATCTACGATGAATAGAAAGTTCAAAAGAACAGCATTTATTTAAAATATAATATTTTCTAACATTATAAATGTCTTTACTGTAACTTTTGATCAATTTAACTCATCCTTGATGAATAAAATTCTTTTCTAAATTCTTTCCCCCCAAAATAAAAAAATAATTGACAACACAAAATATTTTAAAATTTAATTTATTCAGTGATCAAATCAAATTTTTCAGCATCATTACTCTGATGATTTGCTGCTCAAGAAACATTTCTGATTACTGTCAATGTTGAAAACAGTTGTGCTGCTTAATATTTTCATGTAAAATGTTATAAATGTAAAAATATTTTGATTGATAGAATTTATGTATAATTAACATTAAACATGTATTTTTTTTATCAAATTAATACATTCTTGCTGTATAAAAGTATACATTTCTTTCTTTAAATGAAAAAAAAAAAAAAAAAAAAAAAAAAAAAAAAAAAACACCAAACGGTAGTGCATATCAATGTAAT